ATTCCCCTTCCAAACACTAACTCCAACTCCCTCTCTCCTCCTCCCTATCTTCCAGATGCCATCACCAATCTTCAATAAAGGTAAGTAAAAATGTTATTTTGTATGTTCCTTTAAATTTATTACTGATTGTACTATGTATGTTTGTTGTGTGTATGTAAAACTATAATGTAATCTCTATAAAATGTATTTTTTTGTGAATATTTTTGGGTTTCTGGAACGGATTAATTGTATTTCCATTATTTCTTATGGAAAATATTGGTTCGACTTTCAAACATTTTGACTTTAGAACTAGCTCCTGGAACGGATTAAGTTCGAAACTCGAGGTTCCACTGTATATTGTTTGTTTTAGGATGTGTGTGAAAATTTGTTGTTGTTGGGGTTAAGAGCAAAGTGCCCATGATCATCCCACCCTTTCTTATACTGATATTTTTATTATTGAAACTGCAAAGGAAATGGTAATTTTATATTTCTTTATTGTAATTAATTTATTAATGTAATAAACAGTATTTGCAAAAGCATTCTGGTAATTAATTTCACAGCAGTGAGGGATACAACAGCCCTGGGGCTGTCACAACTCTGAACTCAACACTAACAACACATGCCGATAACCTTGAAAAGCTTTTCTCGATATTTTTTTCGTGTTTTCTTGGATAGCTTGCATTTATATTATGGTGGGTATTACTCTGGACACATTTATTTAATAAAAAATCATGTCTTAGCTGGTAAAATATGGTATATTTAACTGATATATGCAAGTGATAGCAGATGATAGCCTGTCACATTTTTGCACATGTATTATATAGAATTTCTGAGTACTTCAGTACATCCATCAACTTTAGTGCCAGTGCCTCAACCATACACCTCAGCAAACAATCTACAACCTTCCACCTCAGCCCAGTAGGGCCACAGTATCCCTCTCCACTCTGTAGCTCAATCACTAGCGCACTCAGCTCACACACAGGCCTGGAGTTTGAATCTACTGTATGGCTGGAAAATGTTAGGGACGTATTTCCATAAGACACCTGCTGTCCCTGTTCACCCATCAGTATAAAATTGGTACCTGGCTGTTAGTCGACTGGTGTGGGTTACATCCTGGGACAAAACTGACCTAATTTGCCAGAAATGCTTTGATATTGTTTTAATGTCACCTTTGCACCATTTATAACATTTTTGGTATATTTTTAAATGTTTATACAGTAGTGTATTGTATATTGAAATAAACAGAATAGAGGAATTCAGCTCTTAATATACATTATTTAGGTAGAAATACTGGTTAGAGAGCCCTTTGTAAGTCTGAGGCATCGGTAAACGAGTACATTGCTAAGTGAGGAGAGGCTGTATACAGTAAGAAATATTTCTGTAACATTTGTAACTTTCAGTGGTGCATGAAACATAATACAGGCAATCCTCACTTAACGACCGAGCTTCATTTCTGTGACTAGGTCAGTAAGCGAGGAGCATCATTGGAATTATCAGCAGGGTTATCAGGAGCTGTATTAACCCTTTCAGGGTTTCCAACGTACTAGTACGGCTTACGCACCAGGGTTATTGACGTACTAGTACACGTAAATTCTAGTGCCTTCAAATCTAGCGAGAGAGAGCTGGTAGGCCTACATATGAAAGAATGGGTCTATGTGGTCATTGTGCACAGTATAAAAAAATCCCAGCACACAGTGCGTAATGAGAAAAAAAAAACTTTGACCGTGTTTTTTTGTTTAAAACAGTGACTTTGCACACTATTTTTGTATGGTATTTGTGGTTGTATACTAGTTTTCCTGGTCTCATTTTATAGAATGGAAGACATATTACAGAAATTGAGATGATTTTGACTGGTTTTACAATGAAAAGTACCTTGAATTTGAGGTCAGAGTAGCAGAAATGTTTGATTTTTTGCCAAAGTTCGAAAGTAAACAAATCATGCCACGCATCAAATACACGTCAACTGGTGAGTCTAATATTCTTTCACAAGTGCACTGATATAATTTATACCATTTCTACACTAATGCAGTAGTCTGCATAACAGTAAATCTTCTATTTTTTGTGAGAATAAAAATTCAAAGCAAAAGTAATGTAAGAGGGACCTAGGGATGTGACTAATGAACAGAGGAAATGTTATTTTAGTGCCAGGAATGTCTTTCTTGTTTATTCTGGACCATTTGGAAATTGGCATCTTTTGAAATTTGTGTGAAATTGGCAAAATTGCTAATTTCTGACCACTTTATTGGATAGTTGAAATCGGTAAATGAGTGGTTTCTTGTACTCATTCGATAGAAAAAATGGAGTTCTAGCAAAATAGTTATGACTTTTGTCAACTAGTACACTGGAATTGGCTGAAAATAGGGCTCAAAGTGGGCGAAATCGCTGATGCGTAAACATCGTTGAGATCGCTGACTTCGCGAGAGCATAATTCCGTAAGTTTTCCATCAAATTTCATACTTTTGGTGTCATTAGGATCGTGAAAAGATTATCTTTTCATAAGATTTTTTTTTTTTTTTTTCGAAAAACTTTCAACCCTGAGAACAAGTTTAGGAGAGGGCCTCTCGATCCTGAAAGGGTTCATGTTGATAGAATTATTGACTATGTTAAGTAAAAGGACACAAGTGCAATTAATGTGACATTTTATTGCGGCAATATTTCCCTCTCCAGGAACTTGGACAAGCCGCTAACAGAGCTCCTGGAGAACAAAACATTGCCACAATAAATTGTCATTATTTGCACTTTTGTCCTTTTACCCACCTTATCAGGAGCTGTAGAGGGCCCGAGTAAGAGAGATGATGGCAAGAAAATAGAAAGACTTGTAGGGGTCCAGGGTGTAGCTTTTCAGAAGAATCCTATTAGTGTGGTCTGCTTTGTAATTTTTTTTTTTTCATAGATTTCATGATAGCATTATAAAAGTTTATCCATTTGTTCTTCCACTTTTGTGAACCATTCAACATTCAGGTCCATACTCTGTAGTTCTAATATAGCCGCATTCACTTTCAAATATGTGCCGGCTAACAGTTTTATAGTGAACCTCTTTTGTACGTCTTCCAAGTGCTGCTGCGCTTCCAACTCTGTTATATCTTCCTTAGTTAGTTCTCCCCTGACATAGTCCACTAATTCTTCAATATCTTCCACTTCAACATCTAAATTAACCCTTTCAGGGTCCAGAGGCCAAATTTCAAAGTGTGCACCAGTGTCCAAGAATTTTCAAAAAATAATTTTGTTATTTTTTCTTATGAAAAGGTAGAGAATCTTTTTCTGAAGGTAATAAAACAAAAAGTACAAAATTTGATGGAAAATTTACGAAATTATGCTCTCGCGAATTTTGATGTGTCAACGATATTTACACATCGGCGATTTTGCCGACTTTGACTCCCATTTTAGGCCAATTACATTATTCCAGTCGACCAAATTCTTAGCTATTTCACTAGTATTACTTTGTTCTATCGATTGAGCACAAGAATTTGCCAAATCAACTGTTTCAACTACAAAATAAAGTGATCGGAAATTGGTAATTTGGCCAATTTAATGCAAAGTTCAAAATACTGCAATTTCAAAATAGGGTCCAGAATAAACAATGCAGGCATTCCTGGCACTAAACTAACATTTACTCTGTTCATTAGTTGCATTTTCAGGCTATACTAATGAATTCCATTTTGATTTTTTATTCACATAAATGAATTTTTATTCATACCAAAAAATAGAACATTTACTGTTATGCAGTATTGTAATAATTGTATAAATAATATCACCACATTTGTGAACGTATATTAGACCCACCAGCTGGCGTGTATTAGACGTGTGAGGTCATTTGTTTACTCTTGAACATCGGCAAAAATTTACCATTTCCACTACTTTGAGCTCAGTTTCAAGCCATTTCCAGTATAAAAACCAATCAAAATCGTCTCTATTTCTGTAATATGTCTTCCATTCTTTCAAATGAGACCAAGAAATCGCAAATGACAACTATAAAAAACACTGCAAAGTCGCTGTTTTAATCGAAAATTACGGTCTGTTTTTTTCTCGTGCTGCAGGATTTGTTTTATGTGGTGCACACATACCACATAAATGTATTCTCTCATATCTAGGCCAAAATTTACCGCTCACAGCTTATCAGAGTGAGCTGAGCTCATGACGTAGATCTACGGTTTGGACTCTCAACGTAAAGCCATAGATCTACGGCACGGACCCTCGAAGGGTTAAGCAAGTTTCCAAGTTCTCATACAGCATACAATACCAACTGGTTGGAGAACTGGTCCGTGCAGTCATTAAACAGGTATGTCATTAAGTGAGGAATGTCTGTACATCATGACAGTGAACTACAATTACGTTATTTTTATTTTTTTTTTTACGATTTGGAGACCTAAAAAAAAAAAAAGTTTGCCATTGGGGGTCCAAGGAACATAACCCTATTTTTCCAATGAGTTCTTCAGTTTGTTTTATGCAATTTCATCTTGCACCGAGTTTTCAGGAACGTAATCGACAGCGTACTGTAATATGAACAGCCATTAGTCGTCTAACATCTATTGTGGTCAAGGTTTCTTTTCCAGGCACTGGAAGGCAGGGATTGATACAGCATATACTGTCAGTGGCCCTGTAAACACCAACAACCTGAATGCCTCCAGTTTCTCCAGGTGCTATATGACTCCATTGGGTTAATGCTTCCCCATGAATATATGAATAAACTGATATATACACCTATTAATTTCTCTTTCTCCTGTCAGCCACCTCTATACTATAGTGCTGAATTATTCCCATGGGTTTATTACTATTTACATAATGCTAATCATTTCTACTTTGTAGGCTATTGACTAGTACTAGCCACATGACATTAATTTCATTTTCCCCTATATTCTTTTTTTTTTTTTGAGAAGTTATTACCTTAATTTTATTGCATCACCTTTTATTATCTTAAGGAAATTTTGTATTAAAAATAAGGTTAGAATAAAACTGGAGAAACTTTTGTGGTATTTTAGTTTATTATATACAAAAATTTAAGGTTCAATAATATACAGAGGTAGAATACAGTATTTATTTACAAAATAATTTTCCTTAAAATGCAGGAACAAACTTATGATACTTTTTTTTTTTAGTGGTGTTCAATATCTAAACTGTTGGTTCTCTGAACAACTGAACTATTATAATTTTAATAGCAGTTTTTTAATGCTATCAGAATTACACAATGAGCTGCAGTTATTTAAAAAAATATATATTACATATATTGACTGTAAAACACACAGCAGTTAATAGAATGTGGACTTATGCTTAGATATACTAGGAAAACGAGATACCAAAACTTGTATTTGAAAATAAAAAAATATGCAGCTGTTCTTTGTTAGTAACAAGAGTTCAAAGACCATTAGGAAAAAAATCTTAAGCATAATGTATTTTCAGTTGTAAAATACTGGAATGAGTATTGAGAGGGAGAAAATAAAACTGGTAACCCTCAATCTTCTTTAAAGTAATTATCCAAATTTCAGGATAGACGGCAATAATTTCAAAGGTATTGCAAAATATTAATTTTTGTAAATGCCCTCAACATTGCGCTAGATTATTAATCCCCTGTATAAATATTGTAGTCATAAACTGTAATAGTTTGCAGGATTAAAAAAAAGTCTTCCTTGATTATATACCATATGCTAAAGAAAGACTGAAAAAGACCTCTTGAGAAAAGTTTACAAATTCTCATGCCCAAAAACTCTGATATAGGAATCTGGGTTACAAGGCACAGTTCTAGATATTTAATTTGTTATTGCAAAGTCATATAAGTAAAAATCTATAACTTCTAATGAAATGTTGAAAATTTGTTGGGTAATACTGTCCTGAGAAATGTCAAAGTAAGATGAGACTGGGACAATCAGTTTAATTAAATATTTTATGAATACAGTTGTACTAGGTAATAATATAAAGTGAATATTTAGGTAGTCACATTGGTTTTTGTATTTCATAGAAACAATAACATATGCAAAGTCTTTCTGGTTTTGCTTAAACCTAGCCACAATAGTCCACACATCATGTATGACACTTACAGGTTTAGTGTTTTCCCTTTAATATTACTTAATGTATTTCATGCATTCTCCAAATGTCATTCAAAGCTCCCCATTTATCTTTACAATCTACATTAAGTATATCCTCTTAGGGAAGGTGCTATGATGTCACTGAGGGGCTCTTGATCCAAGGAATTGAAGTTATTCTCTCTGTCCTTGGATCATATCTGAATGCCTTCCATTCCCCAAGGTGTTTTATGATCTCTATGGGTTTAGTGCTACCCTACGAATGTTAACAGTACCGTACACAAAGTATGTACTGCACGATTTTCAAACTACACTTTTCTTTATCTTTTATAATATGATTCTTTACTTTACAAATTGTGAATGTTTACAGTAGAATTTATTTATTAGTCTTATTTCAGAATATAAAAACTGTGATGTGAATATTAAAAAGAATCTGAGGTTTGAAGATTAGGTGTGGGGTTACCAAAAATATTACTCAAGAGGGGTGAGAAGGGGTTGTTGAGGTGGTCTGGACATTGAGAAAATGGAGAAAAATAGGATGACTAGGAGGGCATATAAATCTGGGGATGGAGAGGAGTTGGATTGTTCTAGGAAAGGTTGGAGGTTGTAAGAGGTTATGGATGTCAAGGGCTTGTACAAACAACACGCCTGTGTGAGCATGTTAGGAGAGTGGAGGCAAGTGGTTTTAATGATTTGTTGTGCTGTTGGGTGTGAGCAGGGTAACATTTATGAAGGGATTCAGGGAAACTAGATAACCAGACTTGAGTCCTGGAGGTGAAAAGTATAGTGCCTGCACTATGGAGGAGGAGTGGGGATGTTGCAGTTTTTAGGGTCATCTTAACTGTGATGTCTGTGTGCCTCTGGCAAGATAGTGATTGAATAAATGACAGTGAAAGTGTTTTTCCTCTTTGCTGGACCCCTCAAGGTAGGTTCCTTGATGCTGGTGAAGGGCTCTTGATCTAGGGAATTAAATCTGTGCTCCAGTTCCCTGAATTAAACCTGAATACCTTCCACATCCCCCAAACAGGCACTGCATAAGCCTATGGGTTTAGCACTTCCCCTTGATTATACTAATAATAATAATAATGCTCTTTGCTGGGTCACCCTACCTCAGTAGGAGATGGCCAATGTGATAGTAAATTTTTTTATCAAATAATCTGATAAACATTTTAGAATCTTAACACCACACACATATGCCCTTAATATTAGATGATTGAGAAAGATTGTACAGTAAGGAATAATAATGTACAATATAATTTCTCATGGGAGGCACCTTGATGCTAGTGAGGGGCTCTTGATGTAGGGAATTTAACCCTTCAACTGTCCAAACATAGATCTGTGTTTTCACGTGTAGCGCTCCGACCTTGATTTTCTCCTAGAAAGCACGTAAAAAAAAAGTAGATCTATGTTCGGAGCGCTATGCGAGCGAACATATATCTACGTTTGGACAGTTTAAGGGTTTTAATCTATTCTCTCAATGTGGATTGAACCCAATTGTTCCCCATTTTCCTAGGTGCTGTTTAACCCCTGCAAGTTCCCTGTTTTCCCATGAATGTAATATGCATTACAGTGAACCCTAGATTTAAAGGACTAATGGGGGGGGGGGGAGGGAGTGTCAGTTACAGCTGGTTGTCTCTTAAATCCAAATGATTGTTTTTCCATAAGCATAACAATAACTGACAATTTTGGATTTAATGGCCTTTGTTAAATCCAGAATTGTCCATAACAATAGTGGACAATTTTGATTTAAGATTTTTTATCAAATCCCAAATTATATACTCAGAAAAGTATAACAAGAATGGACAATTATGGATGCTATCTGGCCACAGAGTTTGCTTAAATCCTAAACTTAATGATGTACCAACCATGGACTACCAATGAGAGGATGCATCTATTGTATTTTATTTAGTGATAATATACTTAATGTTCTATGGAATTTACTCTCCAATTGCAGTTATGTAGTATTTTTCAGCATTTACTGGAGATCCTTTCTCTTAAGCTACACCAAAAAATTACTTTATAATTGATAAATTTTTAAAAATGAATGCTGTACTTGGCACTCCATGTACAATATTTATACTTATTTTAAGAACTACAAATGATCATTGTTTAAATACGTTTCAAATACATCAAAAACGATGTAATTCTATATCAGTGCCAATGAGTAGGTCTTCCTTGGAACTAAGAAATTACTGTACTTGTCAAGGCAATACATAAAAATATGTAATTAATCATCATCATTGTACAATAGTGTACAAGGGGGCTACCCTTACTATGTAACACTACATCTGACAGTTTGTCATCACTGACAAAATAAACCAAATACATATCTATCTGATTTTGAACCTTGAAACATCTTGTGGTGTAAAAGGCATTATTCTTCTTTAAAGTCACCAGGAGGCTCTACCTGCACTGTGTATAATATTTTCTTCGATCTCACATAGCTAAATTCATTGTCAAAGGTCACCACATCTGTAGAATGAAGAAATCAGGATTTATGAATATATTTGTCAAATGCATTCCTTATATTATACTCTTAATGAAGTAAAATGAATGCTGAGTTTAATTAGAAATATACATACATCACCTACACTGCATTGTATCAAATTTATTATTTTTACTTATATTCATGAGGGGTACACTAAACCCATTGGGGTTATATAGTGCCTGAGGGAATGGGAGGCAATCAACTTTATCCATGGAAACAGAAGCCCAATTCCTTGGATTAAAAGCCCCTCACCAATACCAACATCAAGAAACCTCCCTTGATGGGGCATTAATTTTTTAAGCTCCTCACAGGAAGTTCCATGATGCTGACAAGGGATTCTTGATCCAAAGAATTAGACCTGACCAACACTTCTTGGATAGAACCTGCCTCCTAATTACCAAGTCACAGCTGAAACCCTTTGGGGTTAGCACCACCCCTTTTCCACAGAAATAATACAGCCTCTCCTCACTCAACGACAGAGTTCCATTCCTAAAACCACGTTGGTAAATGAATTCATTGCTGAAGAGCATACTATAATGGTAGTGGGTTTGTGTCAACCATCTTGATATTGTTTTAATGTCACTTTTGCACCATATATAACACATTTCTGGTATATAAACCATACCACGGGTGGGGTTAGAACTCGCGATCAGAAAGTCATAACACTCCAGACCGATGTGTTAGCCACTGGGCCAGCTACCTACAATAAGATTCATCCAATTAGGTATATTTATACACTATAGGAAGGTTAGCACAGGCACCACTGTGACCACAAATGCAACTTTTTATAGACGAATCTCCCGCTAGCGATGGTCTGGAGTTTTATGACTGATCGCGGGTTTTAACCCCACCCGTGGTATGGTTTGTTTGCAATCGTGTCATTGTGATTTCATGAGTCATATTGATGGCTTTGGGGGGACTTGAGCTAGAGTTTGTCATGGCCACGCTAGTGGGAGATTTGTCTGTAAAAACTTGTATTTGTGGTCACAATGGTGCCTATGTTAACCCTCCTAAGGTGTATAAATATACTTAGCTGGATGAATCTTATTGTAGCTAGCTGGCCCAGTGGCTAACTCGTCGGTCTGGAGCTTTATGACTTTCTGATCATGAGTTCTAACCCCACCCATGGTATGGTTTGTTTGCAATCGTGTCATTACGATTTCGTGAGCCATTTCTAGTATATTTGTAAATGTTTATACAGTAGTGTACTGTATATTGTAATAACCAGAATAGAGGAAATCAGCTCTAATATACATTATTTAGGTATGCATACTGGTCAGCGAGCCAGTCGTAAGTTCGAGTTGTCGGTAAACGAGTACATCGCCAAGTGAGGAGAGGCTGTACCCTGATAATTATACTTATGTGTACCTGTACTTAAATAAACTTACACACTGTGCTAGCATGCAGGTACACGTTAAAATCACTAAGTGTGTTATTATTCTTAAAGATGCCATATTAATAATGATCATAATAATAACACATAATAATAATCACTTGAGATGCATTAATGTTGTATATTATGTTAATATAGACATTTTGATTAATCCATCTATGATATTTTTTTCAAAATTATATAATAAACATGCTACGTAACATATAAATATGATAAATACACCCACAGTAGAATAAATTAACATGTGTGAGATGTTTTTCCAATTGTCTTGCCGGAGTGTCGGAAAGAATGTTTTCTCTAGTTCAACAAAGAAAATGTGTACACTATAGTATTACTGGGGGTAACTGTAGAAAATTATTCCTCTTGCATGCCCTCACTCAGAGCATCATTCTTTCTAAAAATGGTGTGTTATATGAGAATGGGAGTGTTGCTCTTTATTTATTCTACTTTACCAATGTGGAGACAACTTGCCCAAAATGAAGGTGTTTGTATTTTGGAAAAGTTTCACAGACATTCTGCTGCTCTGTTTTCTTCATTTACTCATTCTTGCTCTCTTTTTATTCTTTTTTATTTACTCACCTTCACCAACTTTAAGACTAAAAATTTTTTAAGGGAAAATGAGTGCACTGCTTTCGCATTTTTTTGCTTAGGATACTTTTCCCCTTTAAAATGTCCAAAAAGTGATAAATTTGCACGGAAGGCCTGAACATAGATCTATGTTTTTTTTTCATTTATTCAAATTTGGAACAATAGGTCGAGTCACCCGACATGAATGAAGAGTCCGCACTCGTGTGCACCCCTATTAAAAAAAAATTGGGGGCCCCTTGAAATTTTAGGACACCCCGTTCAATTGAGAGCCAGCTATTTTCAAAGTGGGGGAACCCAGGGGTTCTGATGCATGTGCATTAACACTCCCCCTTTTTAAAAGGAAAAAATAAAAATAGGTTAGACAAATACAAGTGATGTGAGTTGGCCCGACAGCTTGTGTACTAGGGTTTTACGGCTCCTTCCTTCAGTGGGTGGACCCGATAGGAGGTCCGGGCTAAGCGAGGGGATGGGAGGGGGGGTTTTATATGGGGCCTGCCCTTTATGGGCCAATAGCCGCTGCGTTTTCCTTTTCTTATGTTTTATTATTCGCAGGCGGCTGGCTTTTTGGGTGCTTCTCTCACATGTACACATGAGTAAAATTATTTTACATAGTGTAAATTAGTAGGTTTAACCCCCAAAAATTCCAGGCACAATAGACGAAAAAAATTTTTGTTTATAAGTGAAAACAAAAAAACCAGGGTTCCTGATGCCCATTTATCAAATGCGTGGGATGCAACAGTTGTTAACCTATTCTTCAAAGGTTTTATATATACCCAGGCACACACGAATGACAGATAAACAAGCTAAACGATAAAATGTTTTTGTGCAACAGTGAAAAAAAAAAAAAAACAGGGTTCCCCGAGTGCCCCCTTTACAAATTCACTGGGTGTCAACAGTTTTGGACTTTTTCATAACACCTTGCTTCAAAGGGATACTCCGCTTTTCTAAAAAAATTGCTGGGACCTATAAAACTTTTTTAATTTTTAGACAAAGTAAAGATCCAGGGAGGGGAAAATGTTTACCCTTTAATGTGATTGTGACTATTTTAGTACTTTTTTATACTTAATATTATGTCAAACAAAAACTGGGTTAAAATACAAGAATAATAAAATTTTTGCGATATTCAAGAGAAACAAACGCCCCACATGTCTAAACACGTCAACTGGTGGGTTAATATACATTCACAAATATGGTGATGATATTTTCAATTACACATTATTGCAAAACAGTAAATCTTCTTTTTTTTGGGTTTGGAAAAAAATTCTTTATGTGAATAAAAAATCAAAATGGAATTTATTTGAAAAAGCCTAAAAAACATAACTAATGAACGGGAGGAAATGTTAGTTTAGTCCCAGGAATGCCTACATTGTTATTTGGCCCCTATTTTGAATTGGAATATTTTGAACTTGTGTTAAATTGGCCAAATTAACAATTTCCGATCATTTTATTTTGTAGTTAAAACAGTTGACTTGGCGATTTCTTGTGCTCAATCGATAGAATAGAAGTAATACTAGTGAAATAGCTAAGAATTTGGTTGATTGGAATAATGTAATTGGCCTAAAATGGGAGTCAAAGTCGGCAAAATCGCCGATTCGTAAACATCGCTGACACATCAAAATTCGCAAGAGCATAATTTCGTCAATTTTCCACCAAATTTCGTACTTTTTGTTTTATTACCTACACAAAAGGATTCTCTACGATTTCATAAGAAAAAATAACAAATTTTTGTTTTGAAAATTCTTGGACACTGGTGCGTGACTCCAGATTTGGGCCTTGGACCCTGAAAGGGTTAAAAGCAGGTGGGGATATAGTTTTGGAGTGGTTGGTGCAATTATTTAATAAATGTATGGAAGAGGGTAAGGTACCTGGGATTGGCAGAGAGCATGCATAGCTCCTTTGTATAAAGGCAAAGGGGATAAAAGAGAGTGCAAAAATTATAGGGGGATAAGTCTGTTGAGTATACCTGGTAAAGTGTATGGTAGAGTTATTATTGAAAGAATTAAGAGTAAGACGGGGGGAATAGGATAGCAGATGAACAAGGAGGCTTTAGGAAAGGTAGGGGGTGTGTGGACGGGTTTGTTTACAGTGAAACATACAAGTGAACAGTATTTAGATAAGGCTTTAAAAAGGTCTTTGTGGCATTTATGGATTTGGAAAAGGCATATGACAGGGGGATAGGGGGGCAATGTGGCCAGATGTTGCAGGTGTATGGTTGTAGGAGGTAGGTTACTGAAAGCAGTGAAGAGTTTTTACGAGGATAGTGAGGCCAAGTGAGTATGTAGGAAAGAGGAAATTATTTCCCCGTAAAAGTAGGCCTTTGACAAGGATGTGTGATGTCACCGTGGATGTTTTTAATATATTTTTAGATGGGGTTGTAAGAGAAGTAAATGCGAGGGTCTTGGCAAGAGGCATGGAGTTAAAAGATAAAATCGCACATAAAGTGGGAGTTGTCACAGTTTGCTCTTTTTGATGACATGTGCTCTGGGGGGATTCTGAAAAGAAGTTGCAGAATTGGGGGAGAATTTGGGAAGGTGTGCAAAAAAAAAAATTAAAATGAATACAGGGAAAAAAATAAAGGTTATGAGAAAAAAAAGATTATGATGAAAAATTGGTTTTCAGTTTTTAGGGAGGAGTATGGAGGGGTGAATGTATTCAGATATTTGGGAGTGAGGTCAGGGGTGGGGGCTATGAAAAATGAGGTGAATCATAGAATTGATGAGGGGGAAAAGGGGAAGTGGGGCATTTTGGAGGCTTGGAGACAAAGAAATTTTTCCTTGGAGGGAAAGAGGGGAAAGTATGAGAGTATTGTTTTAAACGCTCTTTTGGGGTGAAACAGGGGTGAAGAATGTTGCAGCGAGGGAAAGGGTGGGGGCAGTGGAGATGTCTGTCTGGGGAATGTGTGGTGTGAAATAATGCAGAGAATTGAGTTTGGAAATTAGGGGGAATGTGGGTTACCAAAAAATGTTGCCGAGGGTGAGGGAAGGGGGTTGGGTGGTTCGACAG